TACGGTGGGGGGGGGGGTCCGCGCCCCCTCCTCCTTGGGACTAGCGAAAACAAAAGGGGAAACTCTGCAGCACTTTGCAGGCTGACGAGATGGTTTCTTAGGGGACGAGCTGTCGGGGGCCAGACCCGCTTCCTCAGATCAAACAGTGGAAGAGAATTGGCCTGGCCATATCTTCCAGAAGAATGCAATGGAAAAAGTGAACACGTGGGGGGGGGGGTCCGCGCCCCCTCCTCCTTGGGACTAGCGAAAACAAAAGGGGAAACTCTGCAGCACTTTGCAGGCTGACGAGATGGTTTCTTAGGGGACGAGCTGTCGGGGGCCAGACCCGCTTCCTCAGATCAAACAGTGGAAGAGAATTGGCCTGGCCATATCTTCCAGAAGAATGCAATGGAAAAAGTGAACACATTATTAAACTGACAGATCAGATTTAGTACAGAAGGTGCCGTGAGGGAGAGGGAGGGAGGGAATAGCTACTTATGAGTCAATGAATGGCTAACAGGGGTGATAAGTGGGGAAGCTATCTTTGTAATGGGTAAGGTAATTAGCATCTTTAAGGCCCATTAGTAAAGTGTCAAATTTAAGCATGAATGAAAGTTCTGACGTTTCCCTCTGTAATCTGGTGTTAAATTCTTTTTGAAGTAAGATGCATGTAGTAAGGTCGTTAAGATTATGTCCAGGTAGGTTGAAATACAAAGCATGTGGTTTTTCCTTGTGAAGATGTCTGATTTATGAGCATTAATTCTTTGTTGAAGTGTCTGAGAAGTCTGTCCAATATACACAGCAGAAGGACACTGTTGGCATAAATTATATTTCTGGATGAACAGGAATATGTGTTCTTGATCATATAACTGACATGGTTAGGTCCAGTGATGGTGTCACCAGAGTAAATATGTGGCCAAAGTTGGCAACGGGGTTTGTTGCAAGGGAAGTTCCAGGGTTGATATTTATGTGGTATGTCCTGTGGTGGTTGGTAAGAATCCTCCTGAGGTTAGGTGGTTGTCTATAGGTGAACACTATTCCCTTTTGCTTGGGACAGTCCCTTTTAAGCCCTGCCTCAGCCATTCTGACTTTTTTTGGCAGTACTGGGCATTTGCCCCTTTGTGTCTTGTTAGCTGATTGGGATAATCTGTTATGTTTTGTCAAGGTCCAAAATCAACAAAATAATTTTAAAAAAACCCTAGCAATAATAAGTAAAATATTTTGGAGTCTATTGAAAAGTGTCTGGTGTCATAGCCTGAAAAGTGTCATAGCCCAGGTTTGGCCCATGGTCTGCCTATTGATTATCCCTGTGGGGCAGAAAAAGTAGGGAGGTCTGAGGATAACCCTGGCAGCCTATCAGTGGCCTTTTGTAGGGCTAGACTATGAGAAACATGTCAGGCTTTCTACAGTGGTATTTCCTTGTTGTATTCAGATAAACTGTTAATTTTTCTTTACAATTTACCAATTGAACTTTAGCATCTTAAGAGTAAATCAGTAATTGGGCATAAAGCTGCTATATTTTCTTTGCTGCATCAAGCTTTAGATTGAAGAGAATCCTATATGATGTAAAAGGTAGTATGAAGTTTCATTTCTTGGGAACGTATGCATTTTTAAAATTTTCCCTTGATAGTCTTATTTATGCAAGCAGAAGATTTGGGGTGTTTGCACAGCCATAATTAGAGGAGTCCTTTAAGATTATGGAAAGAGCTGTTTAGCTTCATATACTGTTATGAAGCTATTCAACTGATCAGATTGATTGTGCGGGTTGGAATGGGCCAATTTCTACAGCCTATCCATCTAGTTAATTCTTATAGATTTTTGTACCACATCCATGACCCTTTGTATTGAAGTGCCTTACAAATCTATTAAAAGGCATACAAGTATCTATTTGAATTTCTGGGTGTCTCATTTTTTGAGTAAGCTTTGAATTGTCATTGGACATAAATGACTTATTGAAATTCTGCATTGTTGTGATCCCATAGTTTACAGTTTATGAATACTAAAACTGAGCTACTAGATTGCCATACAAAAGAGTATGTTGAACAAAAAAATGAATTTTTAACGACAAAAAGCTAAGGCACAAAGTGAGCAAGGGATAAGAGTAAGAAAAGGTTCTAATAAATATATTAGAAGTAAGAGAAGAAGGAAAGCATAGATATACTTACTTAATGGGGAAAGAGAAATAACAAATGACAAAGAATGCTGAGGTGTTTAATGCTTTTTTTGGGACTACATTTGTTATTGAAAATGTTAATTGTGAAGAGATGCTTAAGAACATAAGAATGGCCATACTGGGTCAGAACAAAGGTCAATCCAGCCCAGTATCCTGTCTGTCGACAGTGGCCAATGCCAGGTATCCCAGAGGGAATGAACTGAACAGGTAATGATCAAGTGATCTCTCCCCTGCCATCCATCTCCACCCTGTGACAGACAGAGGCTGGGGACACCATTCCTTACCCATCCTGGCTAATAGGCATTAATGGACTTAACCTCAATGAATGTATCTAGTTGTCTTTTTAAACCCTGTTATAGTCCTAGCCTTCTCAACCTCCTCTGGCAAGGAGTTCCACAGGTTGACTGTGCTCTAAGTGAAGAGCTTCCTTTTATTTGTTTTAAACCTGCTGCCCATTAGTTTCATTTGGTGGCCCCTAGTTCTTATATTATAGGAACAAGTAAATAACTTTTCCTTATTCACTTTCTCCACACCACTCATGATTTTATATACCTCTGTCATATCCCTCCTTAGTGTCCTCTTTTCCAAGCTGAAAAGTCCTAGTCTCTTTAATCTCTCCTCATATGGGACCCGTTCCAAACCCCTAATCATTTTAGTTGCCCTTCTCTGAACCTTTTCTAATGCCAATATATCTTTTTTAACATGAGGAGACCACATCTGTACACAGTATTCAAGATATGGGCGTACCATGGATTTATATAAAGGCATTCCTTTTTTAAATGATTCCTAACATCCTCTTCGCTTTTTTGACTGCCACTGCACATTAGGTGGACGTCTTCAAAGAACTATCCACAATGACTCCAAGATCTCTTTCCTGATTAGTTGTAGCTAAATTAGCCCCTATCATATTCAATGTATAGTTGTGGTTATTTTTTCCAATGTGCATTACTTTATATTTATCCACACTCAATTTCATTTGACATTTTGTTGCCCGATCACTTACTTTTGTGAGAACTTTCTAAAGTTCTTCACAGTCTGCTTTGGTCTTAACTATCTTGAGCAGTTTAGTATTGTATGCTAACTTTGCCATCTCACTGTTTACCCCTTTCTCCATATCATTTATGAATAAGTTGAACAGGATTGGTCCTAGGACTAATCCTTGGGGAACACCATTAGTTACCCCTCTCCATTCTGAACATTTACCATTTATTCCTGCTCTTTGTTTCTTGTCTTTTAACTAGTTATCAATCCATGAAAAGATCTATCCTCTTATCCCATGACAACTTAATTTACATAAGAACCTTTGGTGAGGGACCTTGTCAAAGGCTTTCTGGAAATCCTTAGGTTTAAAAAAAACCTAAGAACACTATATCTATTGTATCCCCCTTGTTTGTCCACATGCTTGTTGACCTCTTCAAAGAACAGTAATAGATTAGTAAGACATAATTTCCCTTTACAGAAACCAGGTTGACTTTTGCCCAACAGATTATGTTCTTCTATGTGTCTGACAATTTTATTCTTTACTATTGTTTCAACTAATTTGCCCGGTACTGACATTAGACTTACTGGTCTGTAATTGCCAGGATCACTTCTAGAACCCTTTTTAAATATTGACATTACATTAGCTATCTTCCAGCCATTAGTTACAGAAGCTGGTTTAAAGGATAGGTTACAAACCATAGTTAATAGTTCTGCGATTTCACAGTTGAGTCCTTTCAGAACTCTTGGGTGAATGCTGTCTGGTACATTTTCAGAATGGAGAAGTGTAACTAGTGGTGTTCCCCAAGGGTCAGTCCTAGAACCAATCCTATTCAACTTAATCATAAATGATCTAGAGCAGGGGTTCCCAACCTGGAGTATGTGTGCCCCCAAGGGGTATGAGAAGCTTGTCAAGGGGGTATGGGGAATATTTGGTAAATAACTAGATTTTCCTAATTGAAATATTCCAAAAGTAGTACTGTTAGTGAAAAAAGTTGTGGATTCTAGCGTCTAGAATTTATTTCCTTTCATATTGAAGAGGGGGTACAGGAAGGTTTATTAAAAGCCAAGAGGGTACGGGGACCAAAAAAGGTTAAGAACCCCTGATCTAGAGAAAGGGGTGAGCGGTGAGGTGGCAAAGTTTGTGGATGATACTAAACTGTTCAAGATAGACTTTGGTCCACCACTTCTGGGGCACCTGGTACTGGCCACTGTCGGCAGACAGGATACTGGGCTAGATGGACCTTTGGTCTGACCCAGTATGGCCATTCTTATGTAATCCCGTACTATTACTGATTTTTTTTTTTTTTTTTGATAGCCTCTATAATCTCCCTTAGCATTTAATAGTCAGTATCACAGTCCTGGTCATCCCTACTATTATATTCTTATTAGAGCACGAAATTACTATTCATTCATTTAAGATGTTTATTTCATTTGATTCTACATTTTCTCTTGCATATAGTGCTCACTCTCCTCTTTTCCTCCCCCTGCATAACCTGTTCTGTCCTGCCAATATATTTTTAC